ACCACTACCACCACCACCACCGACACCACCACCCATACCATCACCCATACAATCACCATCACCACGACCACATTGGCACTGCCACCACCCATACCACGCTGGCACCGCCGCCACCCATACCAGGTTGGCACCGCCACTACCCATACCATGCTGGCACCGCCACCACCCATACCATCACCCATACAATCACCATCACCACGACCACATTGGCACTGCCACCACCCATACCACGCTGGCACCGCCGCCACCCATACCAGGTTGGCACCGCCACTACCCATACCATGCTGGCACCGCCACCACCCATACCATGCTGGCACCGCCACCACCCATACCACGCTGGCACCGCCGCCACCCATACCAGGTTGGCACCGCCACCACCCATACCACGCTGCCACCGCCACCACCCATACCACGCTGGCACCGCCACCACCCATACCACGCTGGCACCGCCGCCACCCATACCAGGTTGGCACCGCCACTACCCATACCATGCTGGCACCGCCACCACCCATACCATGCTGGCACCGCCACCACCCATACCACGCTGGCACCGCCACTACCCATACCATGCTGGCACCGCCACCACCCATACCATGCTGGCACCGCCACCACCCATACCACGCTGGCACCGCCACCAGCATCCGCCCCACAACCTTCACACGTTAAGACACGCAGACAAGATCGCACTGCATCTTACAGGAGATCGACGAGGAGAGTCTGACGCCGAAGCAGCGAGGCATGCTGCAGCAGCGGCGAGCCGACGACGAGGCTCAGCGTAAGATGGTCGTGCTCAGGAAGGAGCAGAGCATGGCCAGCGACGTGCTCAAACTACAGCAGGGTAGGTGCATCGCGTCCGTGCTGACGCGCGGCAGCGACGGAGGCGGCGATGACGCCGTTTGCTTCCTCTTTGCCGCCAGGATAGGGGGTTACTCTGGGAAATTGAAGTATGTTGCCCAAAAAATAGCCAATTGACTTTTTTGTAGCCAATGTTGTCAATTACTCAGTTTGGTCACTTTTAGCCAAAAAGTAGCCAGTCTGGTGTTTTTTTGGCCAGCACAAAAAAGTGTAGCAACTGGCTATTTTAGCGAGTGGTAGAGTAACCCCAGAGGATTGGCTTTTGCACTGTTTTTCACTATTTGTATCACATGATTTTGTGTAGCGTGCTCTGGTTGAGCGGCAGCGTATTGTAGAAGTTATTTCGCCAGAATGAATGAACACCATAAAATCATAGGTGAAATCAGTATTAATAATGTAATATTAATTAAATTAAATTAAATAATTTAAAATTAATATGTAAATTCTCATTAATCAGCTGCCTTGTTTCAACAGATGGCAGTATCTTCTAGGTTATAGTGTGTACATATTGTAAGTAGACATATAAGTAATATGAATGTTTTTGTAGGTTCTGCTATCTTTCCACTGGGCAGAGACCGGTCGTATCGCAGGTACTGGCTGTTTATGGGTGTTGCTGGTCTCTTTGTGGATGACGATGAAAGAGAAATAGGTGAGTAGGTAGATGACACAATGGTCAAACTTAAACTAATCCCTGGCCAAATGTAATTAGTATTTAGATTTCCATCGTATGTCACAGTAACCTCTAGTACACGGAGCTCAGTTCAAAATAGATCGATGGTTTGCAATTGCCTTTATAAATGAAAATGTTAAATACCATAAAAAGGGGAAGCAAGTGTAAAGGAGAGGGAGGGGAAGATTAGGAACAGGAAGGGGTGAGGTACGTAAGATGGTGGGAGGAGGAGGGTGGGAGACAGAGAGTGAGTGAGAGAGAGGAAGAGCGAGATGGAGGAGGGCCAGGAGAGGGAGAAGAAAAAGTGGGAGGTGAGGAGGCAGAGGAAAAATCGGATCGCACCGGCCATCTGGAATCGTGAAAAACAAACCCCTCGCGCTTTGTCTCGCTACCACACGCTGAATTCTCCCCGCAGGCCGCTGCCTCGCTCAGCCGACGCCGACGGGCCGCGACGTGTCCGACTCGTTTCTCAACAACAACATTCCCGCGAGCGTCGTCAACAAGCGGCTGCAGGGCATCATCGCCGAGGAGCGCGGATTCCACGGCGCCTCGAACCCCATCAGCCGCACGAGCAGCGCGAGCAGCCTCACCGACCTCTCTGCGCAGGTGGTGAGCGTCGCCGACCTCACTGCGCAGCCGCCGAGCGTCGCGAGCGCAGACAGCGGCCGCTCCAGCGTCGACAGCGACATCGAGATCGTCTGCGTGATGAAGCCGGGCGACGCGGGGGCGCCACCGGGCGTCACCGCGCCCGACGACGGCAAGATGGCGGCCAGCGGGTCGGCGGAGGTCGACCCCTGCGCGGCAGAGGTCGACCTCTGCACGGCGGATGCGGCGACGTGTCTCGTGCACGGCGCAGGGCGCGCGGTTGCGCCGTGGACGCTCTACCCGAGCGTCGACAACTACGAGCAGCTGATGGGGGCGCTGAACGCGCGCGGCTACCGCGAGGGGACGCTGCGCGACGCGCTGCAGACGGAGAAGACGCGCGTCGTTGCGTCGATGATGCGCTGCGACACGGACGCTCTGATGTCGGCCGTGCTGCCGTCGTCATCACAGAAGTGCGACAAACAAAGGTACTTGCGACATAGGGGCATCGTGTTACCGGCCTCTCAGGGTATTACAATCAGATCTTTCGTTAACCGGGATATTGCAGTCGGCTTTGTGTGTGAGTTATATCGCTTCCGGTTTTTTAGTAAGTTTTTTAATGATTTTTTTGGCAGCCATTTACATAAGGCAGCCATAAAATTTGTGCGGTGCCATTAATTCCCGTCATGCGTGATAGAGGGATTCAAATGGTGTGATGAACTCGTGTCGAGGCATAAATAATACCAGCCGGAAATAACGAGGGTGTGGCACGGGAAGTCTGCAGCGCATCTGTGCGACTTTAATCCGTGCGAGCGCAGATTGCACGGCAAATTTTCTCGTTCCAGGAGGAGCAAAGAACCGAGCAAGTACGGCGCAGCGGAGAACCTGCTGGAAGTACAGCTTTGCGACATGATTTTGGACATGGAGGAGAGAATCTATGCAGGCACGCTAGGATATATGCGCTCTGTCGAGGACAGGCTAGCCTGGCGCGTCGACATCCAGGAAGGTAGGCAGGAACGCACGAATGGTTGTTCACGGTCGTAGATTCCCTCAGTGGAATATTAAGTCGTATCCTTAAGCGGAAAATCGTGTACAAAAGACGTCTGAATAAAGTTGGTGTCTTGCAGATTACATCCTGTTACTGGCCTTGGCCTCCTGCGCCTGGGTATTTTCTCGATGCTTATTGTTAGTGTGTTAGGAATTTCAGACCACTTGTAAATTCACATTTATTAAGTGCAACTGGGGTTGCCTTTTTTTCGAGATAAAATGTGGAAAACTAAAGGCTGGAGAAGTATGGCAGCTGGCAATGCATGCTGCCGCTCGTCGTCACGGTAATAGTCGCCAGGCAAAGTGTATTGACGCCGGGAACGCTGCGTATGTTCAGATGCCGGGAACGTTGCGTATGTTCAGATGTGGGGAACGCTGCGTAGGTTCAGTGTAGAAGATCACCCACTTATCATCATCTCGTCACTCTCCCTTAAAGGCAAGGTGAAAATGAATGGAGCGTGGCACGACGAGGACGACGCGACGTGCAACGGCGGGGCGGACGACGGCGGACTGATGGAGGCGACGCACGACGACGATGGCGAGCGGGAGCGGACGAGAGAGGTCGTGACCCGGCTTGCTAGCGCCCTCGTGCAGGTCGCTCAGGGAGTGGAGCCGCGGTACCTGAAACCGCCGCTAGGGGGAGATGACAGTAGGAAGCAGAAGCAGAAGAAGCTTGTTGAGGAGGGCGAGGGAGATGCTGTCGTCAGCGCACAGACGGATCTGTTCCAGCGATGGCAGGAGTCGTTGCTGGAGGCCACTAGTCTTGCTCGGGTAATGCCATCTAGTAACGCGTCAGTTAATGCAGGAAATCACGCTTGCAATATACTCTGATATCGTACGTGTGTATAATGAAGCTCTTCCTAAGAGATGTGGCAGTTAGTTAATAGGATCGCGCAGAAGTAGTTTGTAGTTTTCAATTGTGATTTCAGTATGGCTTTAGAAGTAAATTTAGATTGAGAAGATGCTGCAATAGGGAAGGTGGAATTTGTCCTGTCCAAGTCTGTCATTCTCATCTAGGCCCACTTGAGCAATACTTATTTCAACATCTGTTGTGAGCTGTAACTGTATAATATACATATTAATATATAATGTATAATATATATATGTTATGTCTCACATTGTCATCTTATATCCGTTATGTGCTTACGATGATTGCAGGTGTTTCTACACCTGGCCACTCTTGATTCGAGCATCATCTGGTCCAAGTCGGTGCTAAACGCGCGCTGTCGGCTGTGCCGCAGAAAGAGTGACCCTGACAAGATGCTGTTGTGTGACAGATGCGATAGAGGTCACCACATGTATTGCCTCAAGCCAAAGGTCAAAGTAAGTAGCTGTAGCAATCTTATCAACTCTGATGAAAGACGTGTATATTGAAGGTATATCCGATGCCTGTCCTTTTAAAGTCAGCTCGAGAATTGTGTGTGTGAGTGACCGCATGCATTTGAAATTATTGAGAGAGAAAAATTGTCAGTTCGCTTTGTCTCTCCAGTTTCATTCTCTCTGGAGTGGTCTCTTTGCAGACTCGTGATTACACTGTTGCTGGTTTATTTGTGCTTTTCACAGGCGATTCCCACAGGGGAGTGGTTCTGCCCAGAGTGTAAACCGAAAGAAGCCAGGTCGCCACGCAAACAACGCAAGCTTGTAGTCGAGGAGGAGGAGGAGGAGAAGGAGGAGGAGGAGGAGGAGGAGGAAGAAGATGAGGAATGTGACGAGGAGGAGGAGGAGGAGGAATCTGATGATGACGATGAGGGGGAAGAGGAACCAGAGGATTCCATGGATCAGTCAGGAGATGAGGAGATAGTGTAGGTGTATTACCTTATAGCACGTGCAAAAAACAGATGCCTGAAAAACCCCTGTTAAAATTTGCTTCCTAAGCTATCTAATCTACCAGAATTCATCACGGATTATGCAAAATTATATATTCTAGTAGCCCATGTGATTACAAATGTAACAAGGGAAAATTTCGTCAAGTCTGGTATCGATTGGTACAACATATAAATCTTGTAGAGAATTCCAGACTGTTTGTAAAAGTTAGGATGTCTTCATCATGTGTCTGTCAACGGTCTGATATTAGAACCAGTTTTGTTTCTGCTAACTGTTTTTGCCGAAGCAGTTCGCAAAAAGCAATTCGTCTTCTGCTGCCGATTTCGCGGCGCTTAACTTGAGTTGTGCCACTCCCCCCTGACTAACCGTTCGCGCCGCCCGCAGTGATTCGGATGCGCAAGGCGAGGACTGCGCCGTCTGCGACCGCGGCGGCGGCAAGCTGGTGTCGTGCTCGCGGTGCTCGCTGTCCTACCATGCGTCCTGCTGCGTGCCGAGGCTGCGCCAGATGCCGAAGCACGGTCGCTGGACGTGCCACATGTGCAAGCCAACGCGAAACGCTGGCATCAAGCTGAGAGGTGAGTAGTCCGTCATCGTCGGACGGTAGATGTTGCATGATATTATTGTTTGATATACAGATACCTATATATGATATACGTACCAGATGCCTGAAAAACTTCTTTTAAAATTTGCTACCTAAATTATCAAATCTACTAAAATTTATTATTTATTATGCAAAATTATGTAATCTGGTAGCCCATCATGTAATTACAATGCAACAATGTGCAATGTCGGAGGGTAGGTGTTGCATGACGTTAAAGTGCGCGAGCGGGGTTGTCGCCATCGTTCGTGAACTTGATCCTATTACATACTAAGTAGAGATAGAGTTAGTCACTATCCGATAACTAATTAGAATCTGCGTGGTCTGGTAGAGTCCCGACACATTGTCATTCACACACGGGATTGGATGTTTTGAGTCGGACATGCTGAGTGATGTTTGGCGGGGGGGACTCGTCTTGTAGGCATGAAGACGGTGGAGTCCAGCAGGAGCACGCCGGACTCGGACGGGTGGCAGGAGAAGAAGCAGGGCAGGAGGCGGGCGGAGGAGCGGGCTGGAGCCGGCAGCAGAGCGGCCAGAACGCTGCAGAAGAGTCGCAGCATGAACGACAGGGACACGGCGAGGCCATCGCGCTACAGGAACGTCTCTGAAGAAGGTATCATATTCACTGCGTTTTTCGGGCAGGAAAGAAGCAAGGGAAAAAGTTCTGCGTGTCTTTTCGGGGCTTTCGTTGTACAGCAGTGCAGTTATTTTTAGTGTTTGCGTTAGTACTGTTATAAATAACTAGCAGACTAATACCCATACTGTAAACAGGAATGCGCGTTCATGTAGAAATGATGAAGAAGATCCAAACTTGTGTGGTAAACTGTACAACCTTTAATACTCATACACTGTGTAGCCACATCATCAGACAATCGCACAAACAGACAAAGAACGCGCACACGCGCATACGCGCGTGTGCTCAGCTCCGCGCCCAGAACCCGAATCCCCCATCCCCCTCCTATTACATCTCTCCCTATATATTCGCCCAAAACTCCCTACATCTTGAGCGCACATGTCACCCGTTCTGTCCAGTTCCAACCGTTCCCCTCATTTCACAATCACCCTAAAAACTGCCTAACCTAGAACCCGCTTATCCAACTCCCTGTAACATCAATGCCGCCGCCCGATATGCACGACGTTCTGTCTAGCTAGACTATATGGCTAAAACAACTACCAGTCTAGCTCCACGCACTAATCCATGTGACACGTGCAAAAGACATGTTACATTATCTCCCTTTTCCCCAAAACGATGACTAGGGTAGTCATCGACTCAGCGTCCTCGCTGCTCTACACTTTAACCTGAACCTAACCAATTCCAAAAAAAAATTACTACCCTGATATCTTCCTAACTCAACCCAACAAGAGAAACGTCTTTCTGTCCGATTAAACCACCCACAATCAATACACATAACAACAATCAAAATACAATAAGAGAGCACATATGAAGCATAGAAAACAAGTAACGATAAAGTTCGACCAAAACATAAGTCAGAAACTCAACACATTTGACAGTGAACATTCTGATATCGCTGCAATTACACTCACTCTTGCGTATTTTTATGGCTGTAACGTACGTGGCGTATGCGTATACAGACACGCATTAACGAAACCACGTTATATCTGGATTATATTCTCATAATCCCAAGGCACACAGGGGCCCATGCACACAGGCATTAATAAACACGGCACTGATGTGGTACTTTGTCACTTCCACACATCATACGGCCAACAAAATCATCATATATCATCCATCATACATCATAAATCATA